GGAGCGCGGCTCCTTCCCGCGGGAGCGCGGCTCCTTCCCGCGGGAGCGCGGCTCCTTCCCGCGGGAGCGCGGCTCCTTCCCGCGGGAGCGCGGCTGTGCCGACGCGCGCGGTTCTTTATTTACGGCGGGCGATGCGGAGCAGCTCTCCGGGCGCGGTGTCAGAGTGCTGCGCGCAGGGAAGTGGCTGCAGCTGAAATACCACAGTATTTCCCTGCCCTGAACATGGAAGAGGCGCTGGTGGCAACCTAGGACCAGGAAAGGGCTGTGCTGGACCCCCTTCCCCTCGCAGAGGCAGGGAGCAAGTGCTCCAGGCTGACCTGTCGCATCCTCCATGGACAACAGCAGGACTGTGCAGGGCACTGGTGCCCACGTGTGCTTTCAGGGGGCAGTTCATGTAATTCTGAACTACCGTGCTAGAAATGGTCAGGGTCTTTTTAATCTAGAGACATGTAACTGATTTTAGACATATATCTATATGCATTCACCATCAAACCACTAGCAAAGGACTAACGTGTACATTGCTAAAAGCCCTTTAAGACAAAGGATGCTACAAACAACCTTTACCATATTATTTTAAAGTATAACGGTATTGTAATGAAATATATGGCAATAGTATTTCCTTTTCATATTTCAGTTATATAATTTTTAAAAACCAACCATCTTTCAAAGACTCACGCTTTGATTTAAGCTCAGGTATAGAGCCTTACTCCATGTTAGGTCCAGTAAACATCATCCTTGCTATTCTCAGAGAAACCACTGATGCAGGACAGTGCTGAGAGACAGATCTTATCCTCCTTCTCAGCAGCAGCCACATCCCTGGCACTCCCCAACAAGCAAGAGAGAGGAAGGCAAGTGCCTCTTGGAAAATTCCTCAGGCTCATCAGAGCCATAACAAACACGAGCAGGAAAGATAAGTGCCATGGCCACTATGGGTACCATTTAGAGACAACCTCAGCTCCAGATGGGCAGCATTGTGGGAAGGTTTTTAACGGGTAGAATGTGAACAAGGACATGGTAAATAGCCCCCTTATAAAGCCTGCAGCAATCTGCATATGAAGTATGTTTTGAAACACAACAGCGTGAGAATCAGAGCTGTCCAGGCTCCTCTTACAATATTAGTATTTGGGCTCTTTGTTATTTGCACGAGCATTTTGGGGGACTAGGTGCTATTATGGGTCTCGGTTTCCTCACCAGGCCTGGGTGACATGTGGCTGTGGCACAGTGCCCTGTCACACCTGGCCACAGCTTCCCCCCGCAGGGGATACAATGAGCCCAGAATGGCCCCTTTTTAAAACAACCAAGAAAATTTCTGCCTTGCTCCAGTCTGCAGGGGACAGCTCCTGCCCTACGACATTTCTTTATTCACCACATTACTGCCTTTCTAAAATAACTGGAGATCCTATCCATGCTGAATCCTCCTCATACTCTGATTAAGCTGTTAAGGCCAAAGATTTCTGACAGCAGCAGTCCCAATAATGTAGACCTGACCTGCCTCCTAAAAGGGTCTCTGTAGAGATCCCAGCAATCCCATACCCCAACAGGGCACAAGAAGCTGCATGGGGAGAGTGAGTGCCTCCAAACACACAGGAAGGAGGGCAAGGGCCAGGGTGAGAGGGTAAGGGCTGGAAGCAGCTCCAAATGCCCAGCTCTTGGTCTCTTGGTCCCGTCTTGCCTTCAGGTGAGACCATCCCTCTGCACTGTAGTCCTGCCATGCTGCAGCCCTGGCCATTCCCAGCTCTCCTGAGGCTTCATCACCAGGTCCTGAAGAAGTCTGGTGGTCTCTGGGGAAATAAGTACCTTGCTCATCCTCTCACCTTGCACATCCTCTGATGCTGAAATGCCCAAACCGCCATGTTACTTATTTACCAATCTGCTTGTTACTATTTGAAAGGGTTAGTTGAAAAAGACGCCAAGATTTTGGCCAGGACATGTCAGCAACATAATTGCAGCTCTCCTTGGGCTGGTTCCTGCAGGCCCACAGCCATGGGAGCAACATAACCAGGAAGATGAAGGGAAAAAAACATCTCCCCGTTGCATTGTGAGGCTCCTGACAGTGAACCCCCTTCTGAGATATTGCCCAAAAAAGGAAGACCAGCAGAAAACCATAGTGGAAATATAACCTGGGCAGAGCCTGCCCCACAGCCTGCCTGACAAATATATCAGCAGCATGGGTCAGAATGCACCTAATGCCAGGAGTTGCTCTCTGTGAGGGATGAGAGGCCCTTTCATGGGTCTCCTTTTCCCTCCAACATGCAGAGTAACCTGTCTTAGTTGCAGTTCAGCAGCACTCCTCAGAGAGTCTACAGACAGTCCTTCGGAATTGGATGTTGTGTTACCTCTGGAAGCAGCTCAGCCGTGCTGAGCATTGCTCAGTTCAATGCCACAGCTCTAGGTACACCAGAAGACAAGAAATACATGGGAGAACTCAGTGGTTTGGGGCATGGATTCTAGAGGCAGGAAGATGGAGGTCACCCAGCAGCCAGCGTAGCTGTTTGCTTTGTCCGAGAATGGCAGCCCAGGGAGAGGTACTCACCCGCACGCTGTAGGTGGTTCCTGGCTCCTGGCTGTACGAGCTTTCACTGCTCTGGGCCAGGCCCCTGTCCTGCCTGCCCACAGCAGCAGCCTCCTCAGCGCCCCGCACAGCGCAGTCACCCGCTGCCTCTGGGGCTAGCACCAGCTTGTCCAGGTCGGGCTGGGGGTAGGAGGCCGACAGGCAGCTGATCTCAGGCGAGGTTGGGCTGCTCGGGATGGTCACGCACTCCGTGAGTTTAATTCGTGGCACCTCTTTGGTTCCCAGGCAGAAGCTTTTCAGGCCCGGCAGATTTGATGGGTTGGCAAGTTTAATGTTGGCCATCCGGGGGATCAGCGTGCACAGCGTGGTGCAGGTGTCCTGTGGTCCCAACGAGACATCTTCTGTCAGTAAATTGGGTGTTGAAGAATGGGAAGAGGAGGAAGAACCTTTGATATTTAAAGACGTATTTTGTGTACCTTCATCTAGGGAGGTTATGGAATCATTCCTGAATCGGCTGTACTTAGCCCTGTGCAGCATTCCTGGATTTCTGAATAACCCTACATACAGGACGTGTCCACCGAGGCTCTGCTGGCTGCGTTCTCTCATAGCCTTGGCAGGTCTGTAACTGGATATTCTTGCATAAATTAGCTCTTGTAGATAAATTACATGGAAATCAAGCAAGTCAAACAATTTTCAAAACAGAAACCTATTGGATATTTTTGCTGACTCCCTCTTGAATGGTTTATTTTCCTCAAAGAACAAGGCTTAAAACTGCATGGACATCTGGCATTTTGTAAGCAGAAATAAAAGCAGCATACAGGAAAGCACATCGGTGATACAGCAGCTTAAGTTGAGGAGCCACTATCCAAACCTGCCTTCATTCCTGCCTCAAGCCAGGCACTAAATCCCACCTAGTTCTGAAGATTCACAGCTGTAGCATCAATAATTGCAGAGTCCTGGCTGCAGCGAAAGCTCAAGCATATTCCACACAAAGCAGAGCAAGACAGCTACAAGCCCAAACGTATTTTCAGACCGGCATGAACCCCGTAAGGTGCCGGGCTCTCTGCACTTCCACCGCCGCTGCCCCAGAGGCGAAGAGCATCCCTGCGTGCAGCTCCCGCCCCGCCGTCAGGCACAAACCCAGGATTCTTTCGAAAAACACTGAGCAGCGACGGTCTCGCTAATTCCCGCTGGGAAGTCGTTCAGCACCACAACAGTCCCGAGAGAAGGAATATTCCCGCGGCTCCGGGGCCGTTTCCCGCAGCGCCGCGGGGCAGCAGCTCCGCAGCGCCCGGGCCGCCCCCGCCGCCGCCGCCGGTTTTATGAATGAAGTTTTTGTGAATGGGCTCGGCGCGTGCGGGCGGGCAGCGCCGTGAATGGCGCTCGGCGCGCGGCCGCGGCCCGGCGGCCCCCGGGGGGCGCCTCGCAGCCAATCGCCGCCCGCCGCCGGCTCACGCGCCCTCAGCGCGCGGGGAGCGCGGGGGGGCGGGGGGGCGAGGGACCCTCGGGGTGGTGCCCAGAACCCAAAACCCCCAAAACCCCCAAATCCCCCCAAAATCCCCCAAACCCCCCAAATCCCCGTTCTGCGGCCATTCCTCCTCCGCGGCGGCACGGGCAGAGCCAAGGGCCTGCGCCCAGCCGGGCCCGCGATGCTTCCCCGGCTCGCGGCCCCAAGGAAAGCGCGGGTTTGGGGCGGCGCTCCCGGCCCGGCCCAGCCCGGGGATCGCCCTCAGGCACCGCGGGCACCTCCGGCAGCGCCAGAAGCGACGCGGGTTTGTTTTACCCCCTGAAAATACCAGGGCCCTCAGCACGAGTTACCTCGGCTCGTGTGGGGCAGCGTAGCGGGAGGGGAAATTCGGCACCACGGGGGTCGGCCAGGAGAGCAAACCCGGCCCGAGGTCCTCGCTGCCCCCATCAGCTGAGGCGTTTTCTCTCGCCAGATTTTCGGTGTTGAGTTCACCTTCCTCTTGCTCGCAGGGGTGCGGCCTCAGTCTCCTCTCGCGTTCAGGGCTGGAGTCAGCTGCCGGTGCCTGGGCAGAGGCCGTGCTGCCCATTGCCCTGCCGGTGACAGGCGGAGAAGTGACATGACAGCTTCTCTGTCACAGACAGAAAGCTCATCACAGCCATTCCTGTTTTTACCTCGGGTATGAAAGCTGGTATTAATCCTAAAGATGCAATAGTTGCTACAGTAAGGTAGGGGGAAAAAAGCCAGTCCAAACTCTTTTAGTGAAATATGGCTCAAAGAGGAAGTGGCTGCGTTGAATCAACCCATTTTAGTGAGGGTGGCTCAGACTGCTCACAAAATTAAACCCAAAGGCAAAACCTGGACCAGCCGCAAGTTACAAAGAATGACTAATTTCTCATGAAGCTTTAATGATAGCTTTGAGCACAAAAGAACAGAAAATTTCAGAAGTGATTAGCAGCACTACTGATTGTACATAAAGTGCAGAAACTCTCTTAGCATGAACATTTTTCCTTCATTTCAACACCATGCTGAACATGACATCAACATGACTGGAAGGAAAACTGGGATGAAGAGGCCATGGGGCCCGTGCTGGTGAGGAGGAGGGCCTGGAGGGGAGTGCAAACTGTGCTTCCCATGAAGGGGACAATGAGGACCAGCATTAGGACCTGGGAGATGGTGATACCCCAGGTTTCTGTACTGGGGAGCCTCCCAGATTTGTCTTTTTTTTACTGCCATGAGAAATATGCAAACAGACAAGACAAACTTCCTCTTTGTTCAAGATCAACCGTACCATCCTTCCTACCTTGTCTCTGAGCACACAGCAAGAGTGTTCTTGCCTTACAGCAGCCCCTCGGCACAGATGACAGCACCAGGAAAGTGTGACTTGGTGACCAGGACACTCCCCGTGCCTTAGATCCTCATCTCCTGAGCCTGCCTGCCTGCTGATTCTTCCTCAGGAGGCAATTTGAGCCTTCTTTACCTGTGTGAGCAAGAAAATGGGCAGGTGGAGGTCCCTGCTGGGCCTGCAGGAGATGCAATCCCCTTCACATCCCACTGCAGCTAACAGGAGCTGGCAGGTGAAAAAGGTTAATCGGGCAGGCTTTAAACCTGTGAGGTGAAAGGGGACATTTGCAAGAAAAAGAAATAGTAATGCAATAGGCCTGTCCTTCACTAATCACCCATGAGCTGTGTCTGGAGCCCTGCATGGCACCAGCACCTGCTGCCCCATGGCCAAAGCCCTCCTGCCCTCTCAGGATGCCATGGGGGGGCTCAGGGTGGCTTCTCCAGAGACACAAGGGAGGCTGGTACTTTAATCAGCATTTCTCTGCTCACAGGCACCAGCAAGTGTGATCATAGTGTGGGAGGTGACGAATAGCTGGTGTTTTACTGCAGGTTCCAGAGAAAAATGCAATTGTGATGAGCTCTGTTTTCAGCAGTGATTGAGAAATACAAGCTCAAGAGCAGAACTCTCATGGACAATGCTGCAAAGAGCAGCATTGTCCAAGCAATACCAGTCATTGTGGGGAAGGAAAGGAGGGGATAGAAAAATGCTATGCCTTTATAAATCAAAAAGCTTTTTTTCTCAAGGCTAAAAACAAGATTTCTGTTTAAGATACTGGGAAATCAGCCTCTAACCAGCACAGAGAACAAAGCTCCTTTAAGCACTGGCGAAACTGAGCCGACAGCCTTGTCTAAAAGGAGCCTGTGTTTCTTGCTCACAGCTCGAGTTCCCTGTTGCTCACTGTGCTCAGGGCTCCCCACCCTCCCAGCTCTCTGCCCAGCCCTGCTGCTGCCCCAGCAGGACACAGGGAAAAATCATTTTTCCCCTCACATGGCTGCTGGCAAAGGGCTGTGCCACATGTGTTTTCTCAAGCTCCATGGGAATGCCCTGACGGTGCACAGCCATGAGCTGACGAAACCTGTCCCTCAGTCACTGTTACCCATCACACCCCAGCCCTCCATCACACCCTGTTTACAGCCCCAGACAGTCTCTCAGCCTCAAGTATGCTGCATGAGAAACTGCTGTGAGCAGCCCCCAGTCAGGTATTGTCAGAGGGGACAGGAGCTTTGGGAGGTGTAACCACAATGACGGAGCAGAACCATTACTTAGGAGCAGTTAACCAGCTACAGCCACTTCTAACACCCCTCTGAAAGAGCTGCAGAGAAGGAGGCAAGACAGTAGCAGCCACATCTCCAGCATCACCACAGGCAGCCGATCTGGTCAGAAGCAGCAGTGTCAGCCTGGAGCCTCAGGCACTCTGGGGAGTGGCCCCATTTCAGATCTGGGGCTGTGGGATCACGGCTGGAGCAGGTGTTTAGTGCCACCACCCCACATTCTTTCTCTTCCAGTGCAGGGGCCAGGACAGGGGCACACAGCACTCGCTGGGGACAGCAGAATTCACAGCGAGCTGGGGACCAGTGGAGAGGAGAGCAGGCAGCTCAGCAGTCACACCAGGAGTGTGGGGGCAGCAAGGAAGAAAAGCTGTCATGCACCTGCAGAGCACACCCGAAAAGCAGCTGCTTCTTGCAGGAGCCCAGAGGAAGCCGTTACGTGCTGCTTGCAACCAGTACAACAGAGCTTGCCCTTTCTGTTAGAATATGGACTAAACAAGGGACTTTTTTCCCTGTATAAATAGCAACAGCAGAGTTAACTCATGCTGAGGTGCATCAAGATGATATGCCTCACTTCCTCATTGACATGCCTGGCTGATCCTGGCAGGAATCAGCAAATTGTTGCAGAACGGCAGGAAAATCCCGTGGCAGGTAACAACATGGTGGCAGCTACCTCTGGGAAGCCTGAAGCAATTTATTTGCACTAGAGAAAGTCACACACACAAAATTGTTTTATTTCAATTGGTAGAAATTTATTTTCTCCCATGTTGAATCATTCTCACTGTTTTATCTCCCATCCATTGTTCTGAATGAGATAAAACCAAGTGTATTTGACAACTGCATCTCCTACTTTCCAAGAGAGTCAGAGTGGGTTTGCTTGGGCTGGAAACACAGGGATCAGACCTACTGGGTTTGAGGAGGACAAAGGCAGGACCCTGAATACAAAAATCAGAGATTAGACTATTAGTGTTTTTCTTCTATTCTAGCTAATCCCAGAAATCATGTTCTAGGGTGAAAAAGCCAAGTAGCAATTTCTGTTCTTGGGCACCATGCTGTGTTTAACTCAGCCGTTTCACCAGCCACAGCAACGTTGCTCTCTCCAAAACTGCAGCTCTAAGACAGCCATGGGACAAGGCAGCAGAAGGCAGGGCTGCTCCACCTGGGCAAAACTCACATCCTTGCAGCTGAGCAGGATGGATGGAAGGACCCAGCCTGCTGTGCAACAGGGCTGAGCTGGATGTGCTCCATGCCCTCTGTTTTTACATCCTCATTGCCTGGCAGGACCATGAACCTCCTCCTTCAAACACTGCTGGGTTTTGTTGTCTTTTCCCCCCAGGACAGTCCCAGAGCTCAGGGGAACAGAAACGAGATGGAGAGTCCTGTGCAAAAGCCCAAGATCCAGTCTAAAGGTTGCTCAAGAGCCCAGCACAGACCCAGTCCTTGGAGCTCTGAGGGAAAGCAGCCATCAAAGGTAAACTGAGAGCTGAACATGGGAGGAGAGCACAGCACGGGGACCTGTGCTACAGCTGTCCCATCTCCAAGGTGGTTGGTGCCAACCTTGGCACGTTCAACAAGGATGTACCCAAAACAGAAGAGCTAGGGAGAGCTGCTTCAAGCAGAAAACACCACACTGCCCTAACCACTGCTTTCTGGAAGGATCTGCAGACCGAGAATCCAAAGATACATTCAGCAGCACTTGCTGGGCACCCTCAGCACTATTTGCAAGGAGGCCGAGTGCCTATGAGCAAAACCCAGCATCACCTGGCATCTGGTGTACCACAAAATCTTCAAAGAGCAGATTAAGAGTCTAGTGACTGGATCCAGCTCTGAGCACAGCCCACAGCAGGAGGAATAAAAAGACAAATTTCAGCCTAAAGTAGCCTAATCTTCCTCTCAGCAGAATTACCTACCATGTGAAACAAGTTGCAGCAACAGCATCATTAAACTACTGTCAACTCCAAAGGAAGTTGGGAGCAGTCATGCTTTAGTGTCATCAAAGGGCTTGGTATCCTTGTGGTAGCAGACAGGCAACCATTCTTTCCTGCAATTATCTTTAAAGCTTTATTTTTGTAGGGCAATGCACTACCCCATACTAGAAAATAATAAATCCTACAACAGGGTTGAACTTCTCCCAGTGTCTCCTGGTGTGCAGAGGA